AATCGCACCGTCCTATTAGTGTCCAGTAAAACCATCCATAAGTAAAGCAAAAAGATATGGGCTTAAATCTGATCCCAAACAAAAATAGGAAAATAATAGGTCAATCCTTCTTTGGTTCAAACACAAGTAACATTTCTTGTATAGATATCTTTAATGACTTGAATATAATTCATATCAACACCTTTCTTCTCATGAACTCTCTAAAGGATATCTCTTGAGGATATCTCTTGGAACCTTATCGTGGAACCTTATCGTAAGCTTTTTTTAAATAAAAAAAAAATCATATGTAGATCATCTTTATTATTTCTGAACTTCTCCATCAAACCTCTCAATAAATGTTTAGCTTCCATAGTAGACCCGTCCGACATAAATTCAAGTTAATTATAGGAAATCCTTATAATACTTCTTAACCTATGTTCAATTACCCTCTCCCATAATCTTAAGCTATGACACATCAACCCTCTCCCACTCTTGTGCATCCCCTTTATTCTTAAAAATGGCGACCACTTCCTCCACTCCTTAGGCATCTTTTAAGTTTTTAAAATAATATTAAAGAGTTTAATATGCCAAGAAAGTCTCAAATCTCCTAAATATTTCCACACTTCAGTTTGGATATCATCAGGTCCTACAAACTTTCTACTCTTGGTTTTATTTAAAGCCTCCTCAACTTTTTTTTACTAAAAAATTTGATAACAAGCACAAACACCCTTATTGTGTGTGTTTCATATAAAAGTAATTTTTTTAGGAAATACCCACCTTTGGGGCATTTTCATTTAAATATTAAAAATTAATTTTCTAGTATATTTTATTATAAATAATTAAAATATTAATATATATTAACTATTATTATAAATAAATTATTTATTTATTTTTTATAATAATGAAAGTATTAAATTTGTTTATTATTTTTTATATTAATTAATATTAAATTAATTGAAAAAATATAATTAAACAAAATGAATTAACTAAGGATATATGAAATTCATAAAAGTTATTTCACATTAAAATATTTTCGTAACATCATATTTACAAAAAAAAAAAAATACTATCTTCTACTCCGTGGTGAAATGACACTTGAGTTTGATTTATATTGATACAGTAGTCGCAGTAATCGATGTTGCAACTGATGGTTATGCAATTTTCTTCAACGTCATCTTCTTCAATTGCGTCATTCATAACTTATTGTGACATCCAATAATTTTCTACGAATGACACAACTAAAGAAAATAATGTAGAGAAAAATTTCCAGACCATCAGTTACGAAATCAACCACTACAACTGTCGTTTCGATATATACCGAGCTCAGACATCATTAGGGGTGTAAACGAGCCGAACACGAGCTGAGTCATGCTCTCGTTTATATTTCGAGCTCAAAAAGTGTGTTCGTGTTCGGCTCGTTTGCTTAACGAGCCGATCTTTTCACAAAAAAAGTGTCCTTTTAACAACCCTAATCATGTAGCCATAAGACGATAAAAGTTTGAGCAAGATTTAAAAATTATTATTTATATTAAAACATCATTTGAATCTAATTTAAGAATTTTTATTTTATTTTCTTAATTAATATTTTAATTGATTATAAATCTTTGTGGCCTTGTAGTCAATTAGATTTTTTTAAAATACTACTTAATATATATATAAACTTGATGAGTAGTATTTCGAGCCAAAATGAGCCGAACACGAACGAACACATCTTAGTTCGTGTTCGGCTCGTTAACTTATCGAACAAAATTAACGA